TGCAAAGGCAGATGGGGTGGGAAGAGGCCCCAAGGTCTCCTGGGGACTGCACTAAGGAGCTGGGTTGGTCTGGATGCAAAGGATCAGGAAGAGGTGATCAGCCCAAGTGTCCCAGAAAGAGGCTGGTGGGCGGTGGAGGCCCAGGGAAGCAGAGGGAGTTGAGGGCGGGGCCAGGTCCAGAAGCAGTGCTCCTGGGGCCCAAGGAAGGCACTAAGTTGGTCTGGGTGAAAAGGATCAGGAAGCAGTATTGGTTCCCCAGGTGTCTGGGGCCCCAAGACTAGGAATGGCACAGGGCCCAAACTAGGAGTAGAGAACAGCGGGGGAGATGGAAGGGTGAATGAGGCTGGGGGAGTCAAGGCACAGAGGGCTGCACGATAGACCTAGCCCAAGAGGTCTGAGGATAGGAGAGCAGGTTAGGAGAGTTAGCCGTGGTGCAGGTCCAGGGAAGCAGAGAGAGGTGTGGGTGGGGCCAGGTCCAGAAGCAGTGCTCCTGGAGCCCAAGGAAGGCACCAAGCTGGCCTGGGTGAAAAGGATCAGGAAGCAGCACCGGTTCCCCGAAAGTTCATTTTTTACTTCTTTGCCTGTGTATATGTTGCTCCCTCTGAATGGAACAGCCATCTTTTCATGACTGTCTGACTGTTGTCTTGATTTCTTTCAGAAACACTTTCTATCACATCAGAGTCTGATGGAGGCCCTTCTCATTGATCTCGGACTCCCAGCTCACTCTTCTCTCCCATAACACTTAAGCACATGAGCTACATACTCTAGGGTCCCCACTCTCTATTCTGGTCTTATTGCTTCCCTTTCCATTTGGTAGAATTGCTCTCATCAAAGTAATGAATGACCTCTATGCCATACATCCATTAGCTAGGTTTGCAGCCTCATTTTATGACTGGCCCTTTCCAGGCTCCCAACATCAGTATCTGTCAGTATAGATAACCCTTGTTCTTGAAACTCTGACTTTAGGCCCTCCATGATGTTAGATCATCTCAGCCCATCTCTCTCCATGCACCTTTGCTGGCCTCTCCTGCTCTCTTTAATCACTACCGGCTAGATCCCTCCTTATCATCTTACTTTCTAGGTAACTCCACTATGATCATGGCTATATTGTTATTTAGGACTGAGATCAAAAACTCCCAACTACATCTGTAGTCCAGGTCTTTCTAAACTCCAAGAAGTATGAAGTTCTCTCTCACAATGGAATGGAAGAAGCTAAATTCACTCTTCATTTACTCTGGTACTATGACTCCTCCTGCCCCACTCAACACCCCCCACCTCTAACATACTCTAACATACTCTATATTCTTTTTAAAAATTGTTTATTATTTTTATTTCAGGTGTATGCGTGTATTTCCTGTATGTGCATAAGCACACCCCTGTGCAGCACCCGCTGAGGTCAGAAAAGGACATCAGCTCCCCTGGAACTGGAGTTATGGACAGCTGTTAGCTGCCACATGGGTGCTGAGACTCGAACCCAAGTCCTCTGCAAGAGTAGCCAATGCTTTTAACTGCTGAGTCATCTCTCCAACCCCACATACTCTATATTCTTATATTCATTCTCTCCTCTCTCTTCTCTCTCCCCCCACCAATGTTCTTGTACCATTTCCCCCATTGTTAAATCTACCCAGTTGGCCACCCAGAAGGAACCTGAGTCTACTGAAACTTCCCAGAGTCAACCTATCATCAAATCCTGATAGTTACATCTCCTGATAGCTCTCAAGTTTCTCTTGCTTCTAGTTTTGGCTGGAACCACCGTTTCCTCGTGTTATTGTGTTATCTTCCTAATACCCATTGTTTTCTGCAAACAGTCTTGCCGTGTTCTAAGCTAGTTACACACCTGACCAGATTTCAGGGCTCATCCTGTTGAGCTGACTCTCCCAGCACTGGCACACTCTCATGCCTCTCTGTCATCTGGTCCTGACCAGGTCATGCACCACTCAGAAGTTTTCCAATAGCTACAACATCTACCCTTCAAGGCTCTCAACCACATCTCCTTAGGCTTTGAATACCTGAGCTTTTCTGAAGCTTTCCCAAACAAGCTGATCTACATATTCCTGTCTCTAGCTCTTCCCTTCTATTCCCAAGCATAAACCCTCACAGTATGGCACCTGTGCTTCTCATTCCTGAGATGTACCACAGAGCAGTCATTTGTATGAGGTGTAGTCCCTGGCAATTTTATCCACCCTGTACTTCCTTCCAGCTTCTACTATCAGCTACTGTTGGCCTTCCATAAATATTAGTGGCAGAAAAGAATCTTAGGTTCCAAAAGGTATTGGATTAAAGTTATTTGCAGAACCATATATATATATGTGTGTGTGTATATATATATAATGTGCACCACCATGCCTGGCTATAAATTGGGAAATTCTTTAAGGCAGAGGAAGAAAAGAAAGATGAAAGCATTTCCTTATGAGTTTATGATTAGAGAAACATCGATAAGAAAAATGCATTTATTGATACTTATTGAATTTTAAATAAAATTACTTAAAAATAAATAAGGTATTAGTCTATAAAGAGGAGGGTCAACACGGAGGAATCATTTCCTCCATGCTTCCAAGAGAAGCCAACAATGGTCGAGTAGGACCTTT